CTTTTAATTCTCCCAACTTTTGAAGAAGTTCTGTTTTCGTTCTCATTTTATAGGGGAGGAAACTGAAACTTGGAGAGGTTACATAACCTTCCCAAGTCCCTGCAGCTACTTGATAGCAGGGCTGACCTGGTAACTCTAAACTGCTGGACTGTGGGCATCTGCTTTAGGACACTACAATACCAGTTTGTGTTTTCCAAAGAATATTCAGAACACTCTTTTCTATAAACTTTGATATTGCTAGAAAGTTTAATGTATATATTCACACGTTACATGTACCTTTCAAAACTATTCAAATCACCTGTTTTTCCTTTGACACTTTACCAACTCATCATCCTTGCACAGCCCTTTCCAAGTAGCCTTTGGCTACTGTTTTTTTTCAATCTATAAATTTTTAAATCTTGCTCTTCTAGGTACAGTAAAGAGGTTCCATCCATCTTTCTACTTCATTAATCCCAATGGCAGCTCAGAGTAAACTCTGTTTAGCATTCGAGATGACAAATATTTGCTTTGGTCTGTTGATAAGATGAAGAAGTAAATCCTCTAGGCTCTGGTTGATAAGTGGACATGCCCTTCCAACCCGAGGGAGGCTAGAGCAGTAACTGAAATGAGGACAGAGTTGGCAGAATGCTGGGTTTTCCTAAGGTTGGGATGGTAAAGAAAAGAGGGAAGATTGTACTGTGTAAAAGGTTGCTTTTATAAAAGTTGTAAAAAAAAAAAAAAAAAAGACTGCTAGCAGCAAGAGGGAACTACCTAGCTTGTTTATTAAGTAATAGATTCTTCAAGTTTGGAGGAATCCAGGAGATTGGTCAATTGGTTACTTTATTGTTGGGGACATGATGGCTCCAGGAGGTTAGTAACCCAAGGCCTTATGCCATTTAATAGCAGATATGTGATGAAAATCCAGGTGTCTTTCCTACCAGTCACTGCTCTTCTCAAAGATAGCAGATTTACATTCTTTTTAAATTTCTAAGGAGCTAAACATAACCTTGGAGAAGTCTTGCATGTGCAAAGGCACGCATGAGGGTACTTCAAAAATTTCATGGAAAGGTTTATATTATCTTTCAATTGTATTTTTCCCCAAACTTTTTGAAGCACCCCCAATATGTGTTCAAATAACTGGGAATGGATAAATCATAGGACCCAAGAGCTTCCATTCCATTCCCCAAGTCCAGGTGCTGATTTGGAATTATTCCTCTGTCTGAAGTCATTTTCTATATGCTCATGAACCTTTCTCTGTGACCCTCCGGTTGACCTGAGCCCTGAGGCTCTTCCTGGAGTTGCTCTGTCACTTGAGCAGATGAAGTTGGCCAACCAAAGAGTGAATCTGTGCCTCCTGATTTCTGCCTATCTTGCTGGTTTCTTTCCTTCTCACTTTTCAGAGCCAACCAACTGGATACTTCGGGGCATGCCTAGCGGGCACCTGTGGAGGAGGGAGAGCCTGGTCAGCATCCCAGAGCAGGGTGGGCTCCCTCTCCCGTCCCTTTGAGCTTCTCTCTCTGTGGGATTGGTACCGAGGTGTCCATGTTACTGAGCATTGGCCGCCTCTCCTCTTCGTGGCCGTGTCTGCCTAGTTGCAGGTAACAGCCTACAGGCTCACATCACCCCAGCTCTGAAACTGAGAGCCATGAGAACTCAGAGCCCTTGCCCCAAAACAGTGGATTTCCTATAAAGAAAAAAAGCCAGTGGGAACTTCTTTTCAATATGCAATATGACAACGCAAACCGCCAAAACAGGTTAACGGGGAGCTGCTCCAGCTTGAGGAGTGTGGAGAGGAGGACACCAGGCCCATTGTACCTCCTAGAACCTGTTCCCACTTTCATCCACAGCAGCCCCAAAGGCACATCTGCAAACCCAGCGACTCCAGAAACATAATTTGTAAACACTGCCTAGACCTAAATTGCTCCTTTCTAAAGGTGAGCTTAGGAGCCCAAGTCTTAAACTGAATTGCATAATGACGATCTTTTCTTTGACCAATACCTCCTTGAGTAACAGTGAGGAGGTAGTTTCAATCATGTCATTCTTTCTAATTCTGCTAGGGGTGTGTGTGTGTGTGTGCGTGTGTGTGTGTGTGTGTGTGTGTGTGTGTTCACACTCGTGCTAAATCTACCCTAGATTGAGGGTTTCCCCATTCTAGGCACAGTACTAAATGCTGTATATGCATTATCTCATTTAGTCTTTACAATGAATTAAGGAGGGCAGGTAACTTTCCAAGGTCACACATCAAGGGTAGGCTGCATCAAACCCAGATCTGGTTTACCCCCTACACAGCTTTAACCTCTAAAATGGAAATCACATGTCCAGGCCATCTGGCTCAGTTACTTTGCAGGGATATGACTTAGCACCCAGGCACCACATTCCTCCTGGAGCAATTTCCAGGCTGAAGGTGTGAAACTGAGCCAGCTAGTGTTAGTGGTGCCAGATGCAGAGAGGGACTGTTGGGCCATCCAGCCTGCAAAGACTATCTTGCCTGTCTTATGTGGGCTTGGTATTTAGGCTAATTATTATAAATAGCAATAATTTAGGTAGTATTAATGAGCCCTGTAACTCAAGGCCAAATCTTAGCTAATCCCATAACTAGAGACCCAATCAAACAAAAATTGTGTGTGCTTTACCTCCCAGAGTTTCATGTTGTTGTGATTTTTGCCATTCTTGAACATAGTTAATTCTTAGATTTGACTTAATAAATCACCATTTCCTATTGAGAGGTTAGGCAGGGGTGAGGGGAAAACAAAGAATTTTTCACTTCAGCTAGAAATCCTCTAGTCTTTTTGGACCCAAGTTTCCCCAGGCCTGTTTTTTAAATCTAAAGGCTGACTTCTTTCCAGTATTGTTTTACATTCTTATTAATTCTTTAGATGATGGAACAAAGAGTACCTCATTAAATTTTCCTGTGTCTTCAACTGTGGTTGGTGACTATTACTAAGAGAACCAGATTAAGATTCAAAGTGATTTAGCCATGTTGCATTAGATGGATGTAGACTGGAGATAGTTTAATACTGATAAGCACAGGGTAATTGACTTATGGAGGTGGAAAACCTGAACCATTTCAAAAAGGGGAGCCTGCAATAATATCCAGTGGTGTTTTGCATGAGTATGATCCCATATGGATTTAGTATATGAGAACCATGAGGCACTGGAGTCTCAGTAAGGATCAAGCTTTCATTTGAGTTTGCTATTGAATTTGGAAACCTGCAACTGAAGCATGTCAAAATCCAGGAAAGAGCTGCAAACATGATTCAAAGCTTGGAAGGAAGGTTCTAGAAAGTAACAGCTTACAAGTACTAGACTTTTTTTACTGAGATGAGATACAATTTAATCATAGCACCCAAGGATGTAACTGATAACATTGTTTGTTCATTCAAGCTGCTATTTGTTAGCTGCTGTGGAGGCATGAAGAGAGCTCGTTCCTGCAGTGATAGATATTCTCTAATTCAAGCTCAACTGAATGGTGGGGGAGAGAAAGAACACAGCCTAAGACAGAGTCAGAATGTACTTAGACATTGAGAGTTCTTGACCATGAGGCTTTTAGGAACCTAGGTGCATGGTGATTGAGGGAATGGGGGCTTTCCTGCTGACAGACTTTAAATGAAGAGTAGAGTTGTATATTTATGGTTTGCTGTTCGATACAAAAGCATAGAAGTTCTTTCTAGCCTTATGATTCTGAGATGCCTTCTTTACCACTGGAAGAAACAGAACCATTGACTCTGGGAATTCTGATTGGATATTCTCAAACCTCTCATGCATTCACTGAATGACCCAAAAAAATTCAGTTGTTTCCTATGGAAATACAGTTCCTACTCCCTCCCACCAAAAATCCTGCTTGTATTTTTATTGGGATTACATTGATTCTATTGTTTAATTTATGGAGAACTGACACATTTACATCATCAAGCTTCCAATCTATGCCCACGGTGTCTCTCTATTTATTTAGGTCTTTAATTTTTCTAAGCAGAGTGTGATGATTTCCACTGTAGAGATCCTGCACAGCTTTAATTAGATTAGTCTTTCAGGTATTTGAGGCTGTTTGGCACTGTGGTCAACAGCGTGGGCTGAGCCCCTTGAATGACCACCCAGTAATGACTGTCTGTTTCTAACACTTCTGCTCACCATGGGCAAGAGAAAAAAACTAATCACCAGCCTATACAGCCTTTCCTTTTCCAGGGAGTCAATGTGCCTTTTCCAAGGTCAGAAAGTAGAATGGCTTCACTGCAGGAAACCTATTTCAGAATCCAAACATTGCAGCCTAGAAATTATTCTTTTGATCTAACCTAATTCCTTCAGTTGGCATTTTAGCTTATTTTCTTTTTGTTTGGTTCACAGTTTGCCTTTTGCAAAAGTTTCCTAGCAGCCTGCTGTTCGAGCCATCATGCAGATAGTCTCTCCAGGAAAGCATGTAAAAATATGTGTAACTTTTATTAGGATGGAATTTATTCGAGATACAATATTAAGTTTAAAATAAACACAATAAATTTTTCATTTTATTTTTTGAATGTATGTCTTAAAACGGTCAAAAGAAAATGCCTAACAGGGGTTATTTCCGGATGACTAGTTTATGGGCTATTTTTACACCTGCGTCCATTTTCAAATTTTTTATGATAAATATACATATCTTTGCATGAAGCAAAAATAAATAAGCATTTTTAAATGGGCAAGAGAAAATTAAAAATACGTATTAAAACCGCTGGCTTGTGTAAAGTCTATTAAAAAATGCTAGTGAAATTCAAATGGGTATGTGACATATCTTAAGATAATCAAGAAAGATAAACTGCTTTTGCAGGAGTGTCCATTTACCCGCCAGTCCTTCCGACCAGCCATACATCCCATGTGGTGCTGGAATTCGCTCCCCGCCCTTGGAACTCTGAGCACCTGTTTTATTTCACACTCCCTTGATTCCTGGGGTAAACCCCATATCCACAGCGTTGGCTCCAGTTAAATTCATTAGTGGTCCAGATGTGTGTCCCCCTGTCAGCTGGCCTAATAACCCCACTGTTTATTGGCAGGTTCTCAGGAATCAGATAGCTCTCAGTCAGCCAAGAAAGACATGCTGGCCGCCTTGAAATCCCGGCAGGAAGCTCTGGAAGAAGCTCTGCGCCAGAGGCTGGAGGAATTGAAGAAACTCTGTCTCCGAGAAGCTGTAAGCACTCACTGTCTCATCCCGGGGAAGTCCATGTTGCCTGTGACATTATCGATCTTAATGTGTTGACAAAAAGCAAGGGTGGGGATTATCCAGAGAGCCTACCAGGGTGGTGAGAACCCTCACAAATGTTGGAAATGCCCAGATCTCTAGTCCTTTGTCAGAAAGAGAATTAGCAGGTGTGGATGAAACACTATGAAACCTGTTAAAGATTGTGCTGGCAAAATCCTAAATGGGACCCCACGAGAGGCCCAGTGACCAGTCATAATGAAAGTCCCTTACACTAGCACAGTACACCACAGTTTATAAAGCCCTTCCTCATGTGATTTTACCTCATGAATGGAATGGGTCACCATCAACTTCCCAAGATTTCGTGCCTACGTTTATTGTTGTGGTAGCTTTTGTTTCTCTCAAGGATATTTCAGATTCGTCTTTGGGTATCATACTGAGACGCATCATTGGAGGTCAACAAGGAAACCAAGATTTCATTTAATGGATAATCCCCTTTAAACCTCGAGGTCTGGTATTTCTTTAACTCTCTTAATTTTTAAAATGAAATCTGGGCTGGCTGGTAAGCTCAGTTGATTAGAGTGTGGCCTTATAACACCAAGGTCAAGGGTTTGGTTCCCTGTACCAGCCAGTCGCCAAAAAAAAAAAAAACTTGGTCTAGTGGTATCTTTAAATATTGTGTAAAGCAATGCTTCCTTGAGCCTGGGTATACACTGGTCTCAATTTTCATGGGGGTAAAGAGGCCGCTGTAGACCACTGTCTATATTTATTTAAATGGTCACTTCCACCTTATTCTTTTTTTTCTTTTTTCCTTTTTGTCTTGTTTCGTGTCCGGCAACGGGATCGCAACCCTCAGTGTCGCGCCCATACCGGACCAGGACCGGCAACGGGATCGCAACCCTCGGTGTCGCGCCCGCATCTCACTCAGCCAGTGAGCGGGAACGGGTCTGTATGTGGGATCCAAACCCTCAGCGGGAGCGCCGCAGCACTCCCAAGCGGCGCACTGTAGCAGTGCGCCACCGGGCCGGCCCACTTCCACCTTATTCTGTTTATTCCACGACTCTTTGTTAGAAATGTTTGGAGACTTTGTTTTTATTGTAATTCATATTACTGTACATATGTGTATTCACACGTGTGCGTGTGCTTGCACATGACACAATGTGGGGGAGCTCTCTGGAGAGAAATGGTGCTCCACGTAACATTACAAAGAGCTGGTTGGCAAACAGTTCAGACTGGGAAATATAAAGAGGGTCCCAAACTAAGTAAAAGAGACATATTCCCCTCCCCCAAATAATAATGCCTTGCAGCAGGAAGAATGAAACAAGGGCCCATAGAACGAGATCACATTACATTTCAACTTGGCTTAATTATGGTCTGGATTGATTTAAACCGGAGCCCGCTCAAAGCAGAACCACATTAGCACAAATCCATTGCAAATCTTAGGAAAGTAATTGGTCTGGCTGGGGAGTGCGCTGTGTGATACTGTTAATACTAGCAACATTTGTATAAAGAATATGCTTGAAGCATTGAAAAAATATGGGTCTTGGTGTCTGCCTTTAATAATTTGTAAAGCCTTGTTTTGTTTTTAATAAAGGAAAATTCCCTAAGCCTAGCAGGGAACCAACATTAGAAAATGTCAGAAATGTGTTGGGGCAAGGTTAGCATGCATTAGAAAGTCTCACTGTCTCTTAAAAAACAAAAGCAGGGCCGGCCCGGTGGCGCACTGCTGCAGTGCGCCGCTTGGGAGCGTGGCGGCGCTCCCGCCGGGCGCAGAAACCCCGTTGCCTCCCGCGCCCTCAGCCCCAGCTCCCCAGCCTAGCCCCTAGAGTCTCAGAACTCCAGCTTCTATACGAGGGGGAATCCCTTTCCTGCACTTATTTGCCAACGAGTCGGGCAAACAAACCGCCAGCAACATCTCCCACTCTGGGTCCCAGCTGGGCAGTCGCGTTAATTGTCCAGCTCGCCGAGATGCTGGCGACGTGGGGCACTCGCTCGTTCGCTTGCTCACACGCCCCGCGGAGCATTTGAGCAGACACAATTTACATTTGGTGAGTCGATTTAAAAAAAAAAAAAAAAAGCAAAAGGAGGAAAACAAAAGGTCCCACTTCTTATACTTTTGACACCAGGAAACATAACATGAGCGTTATGAGAAGCAATGAGAAGCAGCCACAGGCAGATTTCTCCCGTGCTCAGTTTCTTAGCGTTAGTCCCATCACAGTGTCTTGGTTCATCTGTACTAAAGGGATTGGAGAAGTCTTCTCGCTAACTCTGTCCCACTCACATATATCTCTCCCCTCAGCTCAGACTAACAAGAAACACCGTTTGACCCCTTGGCCAGAATGAGGTAGTCTGGGCATTTGGCAGAATCTAGAGAGCAACCAAGCCAAGGCCCCCACAACTGAACGTTAAATGACTGCTTCGCCTCACAGCTCTGGTGACATGTGAATTCAGATGAAATATCTGGAGAATCAAGCCCTTGACTCAGATACCTTCAAGCGGATAGTGAAAGTTCAGGAGCCTCATTTTTTAAATACGGTTTAAAACCACGAACACTTTAGAGTTATAAATCCATGGCAATTTTTAACTTTTCCCTCTTTTTTGTAAGTTTCAAGGTTTAAAAAAAAAAAAGTCTTCACAATATAAAACCCTCAATAGGTTGTGTTACTTATAGGCAGACTTTCAGGGAAGCAGATAAAATTAAGTTGCAGAATAAACACATAACTACTTTGGAGACATTTAAACCACATTTTTTTAAAAAAAGAAATAGGGAAGAAAATTGCAGAGTGTTTAATACTCAAATAGTTGGCCATTGTGCTCTGAAATGCTTACATTGAGAAGTAAAAAAGTCCAAGGGGTCATTTCCGGGGTATCTGAACACAGAAGGAAAGAGGCTCAAGACAGGGGGTGAGGGTGTGTGTGCTCACAGGCACACACACGTATGCACACACGTGACCACCCCTGTGCACTCGGCACACAGCAGTGCAGGAGAAGGGACCAGAATCACCCTCCCACAATTTGGGTTTTCCCACCACTTGGACACTCAGGACTGGGCTGCCCTGCACAAAAGCTTTCTGTGTGGACGATGGGTGTTCCTGAGAAGAAACTTCTGGGCATTTCCTTATCAGAGCAGCCCCCTGAGTCTCTGTGCAGCATTTGCGTTGCTTTGGGGCTAGAAACCCAGCACTGGGTTTTGTCTGGAAGTGCCCCTCTGTTTTTGGAAACACACAGTGGCTGCCCCTGCTCTTTCTGGTCTCTGGAAGTGACTTGTTGCAGCTGACACCAGCCTCTGCAGTGTGGGTTGGCTGCTGACTCAAGCTCGATCTCTGTTCAGCCCAGATGGAACAAACTGATATAAAGCCTCATTATAACCCGGAATCATTCCTTGGATCCTCAGCCTTTGCCCAGGATCATTGTCCGTGTGGAGGTCTGTCAACTGAATTCACTGTCATTGTACCCACAACCTGTAGATTTCCAGAGCCCTAAACACACACACATGACTGATTTTTTTTTAGTAGCCATGTCAATATTATGGGTTCGATTTTCATTTTCTGCTAAAACTCTTATTTGTATATAGTTTAGTGTTTTAAGTGCAGCCTATTTGCATCTGGCCAGAGTGCAATAATTATTACCTATATTCAGTTTCTAAATTATGTAATAATGCACTTTTCTGGGATTTGTCCTAGAGATACCGCTCCTCTTAAGAAAACTCCTTGGAAAGAAATTCTAAACTTAGATATCTGAGAGGAAATATTTGATACACTCTAGAAAGAGCACAGGGTTTGGAGCTAGAAAGACCTGAGAACTCACGTTGACTGCTCCTTACCAGCTGTGACCTCGCCTGGCACATGGCAGACATGCAGCAGACATTCGGTATATTAACAAAGGAGTGAATGAAACTCTGGTTTTATAATGAAAGCCAATGACAATTTTATTTACTCAACAAATGTACTTTGTAAGAAGCTTTGGAAGTGCATCTATTATATAAGAGAGGATTCCTCTCATACATTGTTAGAGAAATGAAATTTCATTTCATGAACTCTTATTTAGGCATAGGGCTGAATGTTAATGTCTCTAATCTATGCATTGAGTCTGTGCATTGAAGTGTGTGTGTGTGTGTGTGTTTCCATCCTAGAAAAGCAGCATGTGCCCTACTCTGATTTATGCCCACTCTAAATGCTCTTTCACATGCACAGGAGCTCACGGGCAAACTGCCAGTTGAATATCCTCTGGATCCAGGGGAGGAGCCCCCCATTGTTCGGAGAAGAATAGGGACAGCCTTCAAGCTGGATGAGCAGAAAATCCTGCCCAAAGGAGAGGTACGTCCTTCCATTCTGTTGCTGGATTCTCTCGCATTATCCTTAATTTTCCCATTTCTTAGAGCTTCCAGGTTTGCTGTAACAATTTCTTCATTTCAACCCAATGCCAATATCTCTCCTTTTAACCTTTCTTGAGTGAGCTCCTTAGTCGGTACGTGGTTCCCCTCAGTCGGATTAGTTTGGTTGCATTAGTGAGCATTTAGATTTCTCGTGAAGCTATTTGTCTAACATGATAGGCCTATCACAACCGGCTAAGTTAAGCTTGGGGAGAACATTCCAATAATACTCAGGTATGAGGGTATTTCCAAAAGTTCATGGAAAGATTTGTGCTATCTTTTAATCAGCCCTTTGTTACTGAGTGTCAAGCCTAATCTCTGATCTGTGGGAGAATACCAAAAAGGAAGAAAGACGTAGGCCATGTCAACAGGTGCAAGGGTGCTGCTGGCCGGGAGAGACCAGCCGAGCCTGCTGTCTGTGGTCTTAGCTTCACCAGGCTGCTAGAATCACTGCGAGAACATGAACAAGATGCTTGGTCTGTCCTGGTTTTGCTTGTCTGTGTTTGGAAGAGTGACTTTGAACCTCTTTGGACTGAACACAGGTGGAGACTGGGGCTACAGAGTTCAGATTTGGGGGTGGGGGATGCTGGAACTTGAGTCTGGGTAATAAGACTTGGCTGGGTAATAAGTATCCAGCCTCAGACCAAGAGAAATTAAAGGCCAGGTATACCTTCGGACCTTGTCTTCCCAAATTTATTCTGAGTAAAGTTACTAATTAACATGCTACCGAACAGAGGGCTTAAAAGGTCAAGTCTCAAAGCCAGTGGTAAAAGAAATACTGTGTATTTTTAGTCTTTTAAGAAACTGATTGAGGGAAACAGACGTTCTCATGGAACACCTGCTTTAGGGTTAACATGCGGGTGATTTCAAAGGGGACCCAAGTGCCCTGGGGCCACTGTAAGTGCCAGACAAATCTCCTGAGATCTGCAGTTGCAGGTCCCTAGGAGACTGGGAGGCACACCAGAGTGCTTCACCCTAAATTAAAGCTCAACAAGGCACTTTTCCTCTTCTGTGAAATGAAGTTCACAACCCTTTACTTCACTTCCTTGGGTTGTCACTAGGATGAAATGAGCTAGTATATATGAAAAACACATAACTGGTACCTGGCACCTGCTTGACGCTTGACCAACATTAGTTGCTTGACATGGAGATGAAATGTTATGGGGGGCGCAGTGGCTGCGGGTGGGAGCCAGGGGTGAAGAGGGTGGGATTTAGGAGACCATCGGGTTGGGTATTTTTCAGCACCGCAATCTACCGAGTGAGCCACGGGCCGGCCCCGGGTTGGGTATTTTTCACATCCACCTGTTCATCAGACCTGCCCAAGAACTTCAGCTCCTCTAGTTGCTGGGCAGAGACCGGGCACTAAACTTTACAAAGCAACCCCACATTTAGTGGGCAGTCCTCCACCGCATTGGGATTCCCAGAGTCCCACTGTACCTGTCACACTTTTCAGTAAAGGATGACTCCAGTCCCCTGAGAATTCTATGTTTTCCTCACTCGTCCCACATATTCTCTTTCCTAAATAAGTGAGAGGAGACAGCACAGACACGGCTGGAACTCAAGAGTTCCTCTGGGAAGGAAGAGGTCTGCCTCGGCTCTCTTGCTGCTCTGGTTTCTCCTGGAAATGCGCTTTGCTTCCCTGTTCATACGACAGACTGCCATGTGCACAGACAGGGCTTTCAGCCTTGGACTTAGCTTAGGCAGTGAGAATTTGTCCTGGGCTCCCACGAAGCTCTAGGTTAGTGACTTGGGCCAGGGCTATCATAACAGCTAGGGATCAGCTGCTTGGTGGAGCCCAAACTCACAGAACAGACTTCATCCTTTGGTGACTTGCCTTTCCCAAGACACGGGCAGGAGTCCCTCTCAGTATCCCTCTCCCTCTGAGAGAACAGTGTGGCCAGCATTTGAAGGATTTGGCAGGAACTCATTGTCCTGGTTCCTGCTCCCTTCAGGCTTAAAGTGTGGAAAAGTAAGTGGAATCAGGTTAAGAACGTTGTCTTGATGGAAAAATCAACCTGGTGCTTTGTGCCCAAAGGCAAGAATGTTTTATTGGGGCCACTAACTAGGAAGAGCTGTTGGCTCCAGCAAACAGGGCGATCTCCTCCTACCTGGTCAGACCAGCTCCTGGACTGTGAATCGCCTAAGGGAAGATGTGCAGTCTCCCCCGGCCTCCCTTGTTACTTGTTTTGGAGAAGCTGCTGGTGCATTTGTCGTGGGGGTATTGGGTGTGGGTTAGGCAGAGAGTCTGCAGCTCCTGCAGGTGCTGCCCAAACTGCTGGCCCCTGCCTGGCCAGATAGGAGGTGGCCCGCAGTTAAGAATCATAATGTTAGAAGGTGCTGTTTGAAGCTAGCTTTGAACACAGGAGTTTCACTAGGGAAGAGAGGAAATAGGAAAAGGGACAGACTGACACTTTGCAGGGATTCTGCATTCACCCCAGATCCCCACACCCATGCCACCTCCTCCCCTGCCCCTCAGCCGTGGTGCACACGGGTGCACATGCACGTGCTGCAGAGGAGCCGGTGCTCTGCAGAGGCCCACAGTGGGCACACCATCTGGTCATCATCATCTGGTCCACCAGGCTTTCCAACAGCCACAGCTTCATGTCACCTGGGCCCAAAACTCTGTAGGAGGGAAAACTCAACCATCTGCTCCTCTTGGCCAAAGGAAGGGATTTGCAGGGGAGGTGAGCTACACAAAAGGAGGGGAAGGAGACCCTGAAGCTCACCTGAGGAGCTGGGGGAAACTGGCCACCGCCACCCACGGTCTCTGCCTCACGAAGGGCCCAATTGTGGCCTGAGCAGAGCTCCCATGAATAGGCAGGTGTGGGAAGGACAGTTGGAGCTCACAAAAAGAGCCTCCAGAAGATACACTGGTGAGTGGGCATGCATCCCAACATGAGGGGCACACATATGTGGGACAGAAGGCATGTGGTGGGGGGGACATGCACATGTGTGAGCTCCCTGTTGCCACACCCACAGCAAAGAATGACAGAAAAACTGCTCTAAAAATAATGCTGCGCCCTATGCCTGGAATGAAAAGGAAGTGACAACCAGTGGCCTCTGAATTTCCACAAAGCTTCTGTCTTTGTGAACTTGGCTGGGGACAGTAGAAATGGAGCTGGTGAGCCCAAGCCCAGCCACATGGGATCTCTGCTTCCTAATGATGGTTTCAGTGTACAGACCAACACTTGTCCCCAGAGAGGAACAGCAGCCAAGGGTCTGGAAAGTGGGTGTGCCCTTGGCTAGCAGAGATGTTAGGAATGGGGCCACTCTCTTGCCACTGTGGGGTCAGGCAAGTATGGTTGGGGTTAGACACTGGGACTGCCGGTTTCCTGGTAAGCATGTCCCCAAGGAGGGGGGCTCACCTTGGGGCAGGGACAGGGGGTGGGGAGGACGGGCGTCTCCCTGCTCAGCATCCCCAGTAAGTGTAAGCCGTGGCTCTCCCCCCACAGGAAGCCGAGCTGGAACGCCTGGAACGGGAGTTTGCCATTCAGTCCCAGATTACGGAGGCTGCCCGCCGCCTAGCCAGTGACCCCAACGTCAGCAAAAAACTGAAGAAACAAAGGAAAACCTCTTATCTGAACGCACTGAAGAAGCTGCAGGAGATTGAAAATGCGATCAACGAGAACCGCATCAAGTCTGGGAAGAAACCCACCCAGAGGGCTTCGCTGATCATAGACGGTCAGTGCCACGCCAGCCGCCCCACGCCACTCCCACTCGAGGGTCTCGGGGAGCCAGACACCAGGTCCCATGGTGGTCCTAAAGCCCAGCCCCCTGCATGACCCAAGCAGCTACTTAAGCACCCTGTGCCTTAACTTGTCCACCCATAATGTGAAGCAAATAAGGCCTGATAGCAGGTGAGAACTAGCGAGTGCACTCCATCCACAGAAGAAAGGGACTGTGCAGCTCGGACCGTCACTGTCACTATCGCTGCCCCCAGGGAGAACCTGCAGCCACGAGCTAACACTCTTCTCAGCCGTCACAGTGAACTGAGCTGAGTTGACTGGGCTAGCCCAGCCTCGCCCCAGGCTAGCCCAGGCTCTGCCGTTCTCCTGACCACCCCTCCCCAAGTCTGGAAGGAGAGGTGGGTGGCGGGGTACACAGTGGTAGGGCCTCCTGTCCTGGAGCAGCCCCTGCCAACTCTCTGTCCCCCTCAGGCTGACCCTATCTCCAGGTGTCTCCTACCCCAAGAGCTGAATCTTGGGAGGACGGGACCACCCCCCCTCCAGTAGTCTAGAGCCCTGAGCTCATGTCAGGGGTTAGGACTTTGGGTGATTATCTTTGGTAAACATGAGAAGGAAATACCACCAACAAGAATCAAGTCCCCCCAAACCATTAGAATCCTTTTCTTCTAAGTCAGCAAATTCTTGAAAATACATATCTCAAGTATTCTTTCACAGTCTTTGCATGTTTAAAATACATTTGCTCTAGGAAGACAGAAAGTAGGATCGTGGTTAGCAGGAGCCGGGAGGAGGGGCGAATGAGGAGTTATTGCTTAAGGGGTACAGAGTTTCAGTTTGGGAAAATGAAAACGTTCTCCACACAGAAGACGGTTGCACAACAGTGTGAATGTGCTGAATGCCACCAAACTGGACACTTAAAAATGGTAAATTTGACATTATGGCTGTTGTTCTACAGTTCCATGTATATTTAGCTGCAACCTGAAAATGTGGGCACACTAGGGAAGCAAAGTTACTGGAGACGTCAGGATGCCACGGTCAGTGCTCTCAGTTGCTCACAGTCCATGAAGCAATACAAATAAAGTGAATTCTTAGTTTTAAAAGAGAGAGAGAGAGACCATTAAAAAAATCCTTTTGCTCTAGGAAATCTGACATACCCACCCTTCCCTGTTGTCCTTGGCCAAGACCATGTCACTTTTCCTCACTTCCTAGCAGCGCTGCTGTCAGCCAGCCTTTGTCTGTCTTGTGCCTCCTGTGAGACCTCCTTCTGTCCCTCAAAGGCACTCGGGGCTTCCTGCTTCTGCAGAAACGTCCAGCAGAGCTAACAGAGCCCAGCCCGCGAATGGCACCTCAGGGATGACCGTGCTGCCGGTCAGCCGCAGGAGAGCCTGCTTTTTGGCCTCCAAAGGGAGGGCTGTTCTATTTGGACTGTCAACACAATCAGTTTTTAAATCCTCATCTGTACCAGCTCGTGAATCCTCGTGTCCAAGCCTACGGCCAATTTTTTTAACTGCTCAAGAATATACCTTCTCTGCATGCTGCCTTATTGAAACGATCTTTTCATCACAGGGCCCCACTTGAGTTAGGAGTCATTAAGGTTCTTCTTACCTCCTTAGCATGGCTTTTATTTCAAGAAATAAAAAAACTAAACTTGGAATCTAAAGAGCTGGGACCTTTGCTAATTTTGACCGGGGAGCACAGCAGCCTTAAACAAACCACTCTCCCTGGCTGCACCTCAGTTTCCCTAGTAGTTAAACAGGGAGGATTATTTTACTGTCTCCCTCTTGGGTGTGTTCTCCTGGTTAATTGAATGGTATCTATAAAAATAAGCTTTGGAGAGATGGAGTCTGTATTTAGCAAGCTTGTTTTCTCTACTAATAACTTAAGACGTTTATTGAGAGGCCATTCATTGCTGAAGCAAAGTTCCCTACCCTCGTTTCGCATGTGTGCAATAAATAGCAGATGACTTCCTCTGGTTTAGTCGGTACATGCCCTGAGTTTGTCTGGGACAATGATGTGGTTGAACCAGGCCTGGGCAGCCTCTCTATTGGATGTTAAGCTACTTGCGTGGCAGCATCCTGAGAAACAAGAGCCCAAATACATAAAGACAGGGGAACACTGTCAGGGTGGGGAGGATAAGCTAGCGTCCCCCCGACAGGACCTGTCAAAAGAAACACCCAACCGCATTTGTATTACATCTCATGGGTTCTTTCTGAGCACAGAGAGGAGGCTGTGGAGTGGTGAGAAATACGCTGTGTTTACAGATAGGGCTTTGTTTAAGGAATGCGCTAAACTCATAGACTTTTGCTTTTGTCTTCTCAGATGGAAATATTGCAAGTGAAGACAGCTCCCTCTCAGATGCCCTCGTCCTTGAGGACGGTAGGTTACCCATTTCTTGCTTAAGACCATGGAGCACAGGTTAAGCAGGGATGAATCTGTGTGTCGTCTGGGGACCGCCTTGTGCAAAGGCAAAAGCCAGGTCAGGCTGGCAGCCGGAGTCCCGGCAAACTCTCATTTCCAGTATTCACCTATTCAGTTGGAGGGGGGTGGGTGCTACATAAACACGTAATTACTGGGATTTTCGTATTTCCTGTGGCCCAGAGGTAAGATGTAAAGTGGTATTCAGTGAGTGGTGGTTCACTTTTTTACAGCCAAAATCACATTTTTAACTCAACAGAGATCTCAACACCGTGCATAGTTGCCTTCTGATTACTCATAAGATCTGGAAAGAGATATACACTGAATTGGATCACAGATCAAAGACAGAAACCCACTAGGAGAATCTAGGGGTGGTGAGAAGGAATAAAACCAACCTTCTGTCCCTTCCTGAGACAATAGGGAAAATGAAATGGGAGATGTCCCTTTAGACACCTAGCCAGGCCTTGAAAATTGTTCTATTAGTTCCCATTGAACTCTTAAAATCTGGCAGTTACCAGGATATTTTCATGGGAAATTCTTAGAAAAACAGAACTGATCTCCCATCACAACTTCTCAACTCACCACCATCACCACTAAACATAGAAGAAAGAATTCCCAGCACAGACCATCTCTGTGAGAATGTTCCTGTGGATGTTAAGCCACAACTTGGGGAGGCGAGAGCATGAATGATGTGGAAATACATCAAGTGGCAGATAATTTTTTTGCCTTTAGGGAAACCTCAGGCAGGCAGTGATAAGTAGCTCTGCAGATGGAAAACATAAAAGGTCTCCCTACCCAAGTCATTGTAATAATGATAATTGCCATCATCATCATAATAATAATGATTGCTCTTGATGTGGGGAGAACCTGGTGGGTTATTTACCCAGTCCTCTTGGCCCTGCTATTAGAAATCAGATTGTGATATTTTTATTGTCTGCTTTGTTATGTGGGTGGGAAGGACATGGGGCTACCAGGGAGCAGGGAGGCTTGTGAATATCAGAGACCCCAGCCCTGTCATTGGCCTCTATGTACCCCAGTCTCTCCAAGGAAGGGAACAGGAACACATTAGTGGGGTTCCTTTGCAGCAGGGGAGTTGCTGGAGCAAAGGATAACGTCGTTAGTTGATTTTGTGACATCATTCATGGTTACAGTTTCTTCTCCATGTTCCAGAGCCCGGACCTCCTGAGAGACATTATTGCCTCTCTTTGGCCCCACACTCCCATTGCGGGCTCTCCCGAGGGACTGCTTTTTACTGATTCGAGGGGCCAAGGGGGAATGGAAGTGGATGTCCAAGGCAGGAGTACTGCGAATTAGGCTGTGAAAAAAATAATAGTTGGAAATGAATTTAGGGTCAAGTGAAAGGTTACTGGGAATTGTGTGCTTTTGTGTGTTCTTCTCCTGCAACTCTCACTTCTGCCTCGCCCGTTGTTGAACCCTGACAGATGAATAGTTCTAAAGCAGGATTTTCACCCTGACACATCCGTGCATGAGAAGTTGTCAAGTTTTCCTGTGGCTTTCAGACCAAATCCCAACCCATTAGCCCGGAATTCAAACCCAGCAGCTGAGCCCCTTGCCCCTCTGGTGCATGCGGTGGCTGGCTGCTCCCACCAGATCTCCTGCTCCTGACCCCCACCTCCTCGCCCCCACGCCTTGGCTCCAGTTCTTTCTTTCATCGTGCTCTCTGCAGATCCACTGCTCAGTGCCCTTCCAGACAGCACGCTCCTAGACTAACTGAATTTGCTTCCTCCGAAAGTCCTCTAGCACATTAATGTGTTAGATCATTACTCCGTGAAGGCAGGAAATGATTTATTAATATTTAATACTTGTAGCTCAACCCCTTCCCAAAGAATTTAAAGCAGTTCCAAAATTAAAATATATGGGAACAGATTAAAAGAGAATATAGACAGCTGTGAAAAAAAGCAAAGAGTAGATACCCAGACCCACCACCAATAATTACACTGAACAGACATACGTTCATTCATTTTTTCTCCAACAAATGTTTATTGAGCATCTACTGTGTGTCAGCTGGCATTCACAGCACTGAAGATATAATTGAACAAAATAGACCAAACCCTCGTGGAGCTTAAACTCCCCCAAAGCAAATCAGATGCTTAGTGTCTACTGAAAGAAAACATACAATGTAGTAATAACTACATTTTGCTGTTTGCTGTGAAGCAATCATTTACTGACAGTGTTTAATAAAATTCAGACTTCATTTGTGTCTAATGAGACATGATACATCTCTTCCCATTTAACTCTGCTTGAAGTTTGGGTTTGCTTTGCTCTGGTTTGGATTGACTCTTCTTGACTTATCTTAGTAAATGGGGAAGGGTCATGAGCCTGTTCATTATCTGAGGGAAGGAAAAGTGTGAATGTGCCCGTGTGGCTTCAGGGTGCTGACGTAAGGGTGGTGGTAGAGTGGGGGCTGTGTCTCAGGTCTGTGAGAAGGATGACCCGTGCTCAGTTCCTCTCTGTCTTTCTGTCTTTGTGCAGAAGACTCTCAGGTTACCAGCACAATATCCCCCCTACAGTCTCCTCATAAGGGACTCCCTCCTCGGCCACCATCGCACAACAGGCCACCACCTCCCCAGTCCCTGGAGGGACTCAGGCAGATGCACTGTCACCGCAATGACTATGACAAGTCACCCATAAAGCCCAAAATGTGGAGTGAGTCTTCCTTAGATGAGCCTTACGAGAAGGTCAAGAAACGTTCCTCTCACAGTCATTCCAGGTGAGTTGGTCATGAAGTACACTAGAGGTCACTGTCCACTCTGTGAAAGAATCAAAGGGCTATCCCAAACAGCATCCGCAAAGCACGAAATCAAATAACCTAGTTCCTCCTTCCTGGGTTTGCCTTTCGACAGTGCTGTGCTCACAGCGCCCTCTGCCGCTGATCCTACTGAGGTGCACATTTGTCATTCAAAGGGAAATTGTGGTTTTGGCTCACAATCAAGGTGTTGGCAGATGGCTTTAATGTTGTTAAATTCCACCGGAATTAGTTAGGGAGTCTTAGGCAGCACTATTCCTAAATGGCAAATGGGAGTCCACTCCCAGGAATCCAAAAATGGTGTAGAACCCTAAGCCATCATCCAGCAGAATTCCAGAGCCAACAGCTGTAATCGGACCTGTACATTATCAGCTCATTACAGGGCTGATATTGTACAGAGGTTTTCTTGGAAGGCATTTTTTGTCTGCTTCTCTGTTTTTCTCATTGCTTTTATTTATACCCTATAAAGCTCCATGTGGGTGCCCAACAGGTAAATATTTGTCTCTTGGAAAACAAAACTGTGATTGAGGGCAGGGGTGTCACAGAACAGTCACACTGCCTGTTACAGAGAAGGCTGAGGAGTCTCAAATCTCATATTGCCTTGTGGAGGGGGGTGGGGCATCGGGGACGAGGACCCCCACCCACCGCTGGGGGGAAAGGCTGAGAACCACAGAAGAGATCAGAGGGGAAGTCCTGGACATGCTTTTCCCACATCGACATCTATGTCCCAAGCAAGCCCTCCCACGGGACAAGGGACCGTCTGTCTAGCCGTGATCAGTTTGGCTTCTTCTGGTTTGCAGTAGCCACAAGCGCTTCCCCAGCACTGGAAGCTGTGCTGAGGCAGGAGGAGGAAGCAGCTCCTTGCAGAACAGCCCCATCCGCAGCCTTCCTCACTGGAACTCCCAGTCCAGCATGCCGTCCACACCAGACCTACGGGTCCGGAGTCCCCACTACGTCCATTCCACGAGGTGAGTCTGCCAGGCCTTTGGGCTACCTTCCTCCCTGGACCAGCCCTTCCTTTGTAAAATTAGGCATGGCTGGCCCAAATAATGGGTCAGCTAGAACCAGGCCTGAATCTGTGAGCTAGGTTCTTTTTATGAATGAAGCAGAATAAAAAACTGAGCGAGCAGCAGTAAGCCCACTTTAGCCAACAGACCCATTACAGCCCACTGTCCACATCCAGTGGGTACTTGAACCTGGCCGGAGAATCCCCAGGCTACTGGAGACACTTGGCATGGGAGGAGCTTTCCTAGTTGAAGTGGAGGCAAGAAAGGCTAGCTCGGGAAAAGCGGGGACCAGAACAGCCTTGCACCGATGGGGTGATCTTTATTTGATACATATTCCTCTTATATCTGTCTACTGAGGCCCAAATTTATACCGGACTCCTTTAATGTCTTAAGGTGTAAGTTCATCAAGAACAAAAAACACAGGCAAAAATCAGGCTTCTGTGAATACCTCCATTTTCTAAAAAGAAGCAAAACCAGGTCACGGAAGGCTACATGGTGGGGGGGCTACTGAGTCTACCCTGAGTGACAGTCAGAACTGGAACCCACTGCTTCCTGTGCTTGGCCAAGGGGGCCACCAGGAATCTCACACATAGTCCTGGAATCAGGCAACACCGTCTACCAGGTGATATTGACGGATATTGATAGTGAGGACTCAAATAAGCAGAACGGATTATAGACAAAGTAGTGGTGGGGGAGGATGCACATCATTCATTATAATTGTTCCTGCTCCACCAGCCGTCCATTTCTGAGTCTTTGTGGGAATGGGGATCTCTTTATGTGCGTTCTAAAACAGTACTGGGTTAAAACATATGAAGGGCCTCTCCTGAACCGTTTTTGGTTTTTGTTTTAACGTACAAAGCCAGGTGATATTGATGGATATTGATAGTGAGGACTCAAATAAGCAGAACGGATTATAGACAAAGTAGTGGTGGGGGAGGATGCACATCATTCATTATACTTGTTCCTGCTCCACCAGCCGTCCATTTCTGAGTCTTTGTGGGAATGGGGATCTCTTTATGTGCGTTCTAAAACAGTATTGGGTTAAAACATATGAAGGGCCTCTCCTGAACCGTTTTTGGTTTTTGTTTTAACGTACAAAAACGGGCATTTCATCTGGTTTAGCATAATAGTAGAATAGTGATTCTCTGGTTTTCTTTGTACATATAGAATCATTTTCCACCTTAAAAAAAAAAAAAAAAAAAAAAAAGCCCCGGCTATTGGCGTACTTTTTCCAGAGGAAACCCCTGTGCGAGTACTAACTTGAGTCCCACTTCCCACTGGGAATCCAAGCGGAGGCCCCGGCTCTACCTCCAAGGACCATCAGTTCCCTTTCTCGCCTGGGACAGTGGGACGCTTGGATTCCCATTGGCCGGAGGCTGTGAGCCCGCGTGTGCTCTGCTCTGCCCCAAGTCCAGTGAGCCCAGAGCCTCTACCCCCTCCCCATCCCCGGGCACCCCCAGACCAACCCGGCCGTCTCCCCGCAGGTCGGTGGACATCAGCCCCACGCGACTGCACAGCCTCGCCCTGCACTTTAGGCACCGGAGCTCCAGCTTGGAGTCCCAGGGCAAGCTCCTGGGCTCGGAGAACGACACAGGGAGCCCCGACTTCTACACCCCGCGGACTCGTAGCAGCAACGGCTCGGACCCCATGGACGACTGCTCGTCGTGCCCCAGCCACTCGAGCTCGGAGCACTACTACCCGGCGCAGATGAACGCCAACTACTCGACGCTGGCCGAGGACTCGCCGTCCAAGGCGCGCCAGCGGGAGCGGGC